GTATTGAGACTTGTTTTGTGGCCTAACATATGGTCTCTCTTGGAAAATGTTCTGTATGCAATTGAAACGAATGTATATTCTGCTGCTTTGGAGTGAAATTCTCTAAAAATATCAATTAACTCCATGTGGTCCAATGTGTCATTTAAGGCTGCTGTTTCCTTGTTGATTTTTTTGTCTGGAAGATCTGTCTATCGGTGTTAATAGGGTGTTAAACTCTGCTATGATTGTATTACTGCCAATCTCTCCCTTTGTATCAGTCAATATTTGTTTCACATATTTAAGTGCTTCTATATTGGGCGCATAAATGTTTACAAGGGTTATATCCTCTTGTTGGATTGATCACTTTATCACCATGTAATGTCTCTCTTTGTCTCTTATTATAGCCTTTGTTTTAAAGTTTATTTTGTCTGATATAAGCATTGCTACCCCAGCTATTTTTTTTCCATTCATATGAAATATCTTTTCCATCCCTTTAGTTTCAGTCTGTGTGTTTCTTTCAATCTGAAGTGGGTCTCTTGTAGACAGAATATGTATGGATCTTCTTTTCTTATCCATTCAGTTACCCTAAGTCTTTTGATTGGAAAATTTAATCCATTTACATTTAAAGTGATTATTCATAGATACAGTTATTGCCATATTATTATTCATCTTTATGGTCTTCATCCCCTCACCCTTCTTTTTCTTAAAGAAGTCCCTTTAACATTTCTTGTAACACTGTTTTAACTGTGATAAACTCCTTGAGCTTTCTCTTGTTTGGGGAGCTGTTTATCTGTCCTTCGATTCTAAATGATAGCTTTGCTGAGCAATTTTAGATCTTGGTTGTAGGTCCTTGCATTTCATCACTTTGAATATTTTATGCCCAATAACTTCTGGCCTGAAATTTTTCTGTTGAGAAATCAGCAGACAGTCTTATGGGAACTCCTTGTAGGTAACTAGCTGCTTTTCTTTTGCTGCTTTTAAGAGTCTTTCTTGGGCAGGCCGAGTGGCTCAGTTGGTTAAAAGCTCACTCAAAACTGTGAACTCTGAGCAACAACAGTTCGATGCCCAGCCGAGCTGAGCTGCTGCTGAGCTGCCAACATGTTGCAGGATGGCTCAGCTGAAAAAAAAAAAAAAAAAGAGTCTTTCTTTGTCTTTAGCCTTTGGCATTTTAATTATGATGTCCTTTGATGTGAGCCTCTTTGGGTTCATCTTGTTTGGGACACTGTGCTTCCTGGGTTTGTATACCTATGTCCTTATCCAGGTTAGGAGAGTTCTCCTTCATTATTCCTTCAAATAAGTTTTCTATTCCTTGCTTTCACTCCTGCTTCTGGTACCCCTATGATGTGAATGTTGGTATGCTTGATGTTGTCCCAAAGGCCCCTTAAACTATTCTCATTTTTTTTGGATTCTTTTTTCTTTTTGCTGTTCGGATTGGGTGTTTTCTGCTACTTTTATTTCCAAATCACTGATTCAGTCCTCTGCTGCATCTAATCTACTTCTGATTCCCTCTAATATATTCTTCATTTCAGTTATTGTACTTTTTATTTCTGATTGTTTCTTTTTCATGTTTTCTATCTGCAATTTTATGTTTCTTATCTCTTTGTTGAAGCTCTTCCTGAGATCACTGAGAATCCTTATAACCAGTGTTTGAACTCTGCATCTGGTAGATTACTTGTCACTGTTTGTTTAGTTCTTTTTCTGGAGCTTTGTTTTGTTCTTTTATTTGGGACATGTTTCTTTGTATCCCCGTTTTGGCTGCCTCCCTGTGTTTGTTTCTATATATTAGGTAGGGCTGCTATGTCTCCTGTTCCTAGTAGAGTGGTCTTATGTAGTAGGTTTCCTGTGGGACCCAGTGGCACAGTCTCCCTGGTCACCTGCGCTGGGTGTTCCAGGAGTGTCCCCTGTGTGGGTTGTCTGTGCCCTCCTTTTGTAGTTGAGCCTTAGTTGCTGTTTGCACTTCAATGGGAGGGCTTGATCCTTGAGCTTATTCATTGTGAGAACTGGTTATAACTCCAGTGGAGGAGCTGTGGTCCAGGGGCTAATCCTATAGAGCAGGATTTGCTTTAGCCGGGCTCTGGTGCCTGCCCCGGGCTCTGGGGCATACTTAAAGTATGCCCTTTAAGTGTGTTGTCCTTGGAGGCAGCTAGGTTATGCTCCAGCTCTATCCAAAGCTGGCAACAGGGCATGCCAGCCCTGGGGCCTCCTGGGAGGGGCCCTACTAAAGGCTAAGTTTAGCTGCAGCCTGTGGTCTGCCCAAGGCCACACCTACATTGGGCTTGGAGGTGTCTTGATAGGTCAAGCTGCTAACTGAGACTGGCTGCCATTGGTTCTGGGATTAGGGCTGCTCAGGCAGAGGTAGGGGTCATGCTGAAGCCAGATGCTGCTTATTTCAGTTTTGTGAACATATTTACATAGCATCTAATCTTTTTTTTTTTTTTTTTTTTAGCTGAGCCATCCTGCCACCTGTTAGCAGCTCAGCTGCAGCTCAGCTTGGGCCAGGAATCAAACTGGTGACCCTGTTGCTCAGAGCTTGCACTCTTGAGTGGGCTTTTAACCAACTGAGCCACTTGGCCAGCCCTCACATAGCAACTAATCTTTATTTTTGGTGTTCTCTAGTTTCACCAAAAGGTTTAGAAATGGAGTTCTTTTTGTTAATCTTTCTTGATATAGGCTTTGAGTCTTGGATCTGTTGGCTTATCAGGTAGCTGAAAAATTCTCAGCTATGATCTCTTGGAATATCCCTCATCCAACTTCTCTCTCCTCTCTTTTAGCACTTTGATTAGACTCTTTTTAGCCCTTCTTATTCTATCCTTTGTATTTAATGGCACTTTTATATACGTTCAATCTCCTCATCTCTCTGTGTAAATTTGTCTTCCAGTTTATTAATTCTCTTTTCAACTATGTCTATCCTGTTGTTTAACCCATCCATTGAGTTTTTAATTTAAATTACTATGGTTTTATTTATAAAAGTTTTATTTTGTTCTTTTTCAAACTTGGACAATCATTTGATAGCCTCTTTGTTAATTTTTAAATTTTTATTTTTTTAAACATTTCAAAGATAATAAATTTATATTCTATGTTTAATAATTCCAGTGTATTAGGTTGTCAGAAAAGTCATGCTGTATTTTTTCTATGTTTTTCATTGCAAAACTGCGTCATGACTTTTCCTACAACCCAATACATGTCCTTGGAAGTTTAAATCTATCATTATTTCTGTGGACACTCACTCATGTTGGCTTTTTTCTTCATATGTGTAGAATTTTTTTATTGTGAGCCAATTTTTTGTTGACCTTAATCTATGGCATACTGAAAGGACTTAGTTGGGATGATTTCCTCCAGAAAGGATTTTCATTTTCTTTTTCTGGGCATGGGTGTAGAGGGAGTAGTCAAGCATTACCGACCTGATACTTTAAAACTTTCAGTATGTGTTTTTGAATAATACTTCTCATAGAAAACTTATTTCTCCTCTTTTTTTCTTCTTTTCTTTTCACCATAGTAGAGATAGATTTCCTTATGACTTTCTTTGTTATCCAGTAGATTTTTTTTCCTAGTCTACTTTTTCACTAGGGTCTGGCCCCTTCAAGAATTCTAGCTTAAAGAGGTAGCTTCAGCTTTGTATAAGCCCATGGTATGATCTCCCACTTCCTTGTTGGATATTAATCCTCCAAGCTTTAGGATTCTGCATCCACACTGCCTGGTTTCAAATTATGGTTCTACCACTTATTGTGTGACCATGAATAAGATGCCTAACTTCTCTGTGCTTCAGTTTCTCGTCTATAAAACGGATATTAGTAATAGTTCTTCTCTCATAGGACTATTATGAAAAATAAATGAACTAATATAAGTAAAATGCTTGGAAAAGTGTCTGGCCCATAGGAAGTGCTCTGAAAGTGTTTACATCACCCTGGGTTTTGGTGTGTGCCTCCATTGTTAATTTAAGGCTCACTCATTCAGTTTTAGTTCATTGAACTGTTTTTCAAATGACTTGAGGAGTTCATTTTCTTTCAAGCTGATCAGCATTTAAAAATATATTTGTTATAATTTATCTAGAATCTAGTTGAATACACTAGTAGGGAGGTGTTTTTAAAACTACTTAGTCCCTGTATTGTGGAGACTGAACTGAACAAGGGAGCATCCCAAAGCAGGCTCAGGCCTTGCCAGGGGCCTGGAGTCCCTGGAACATGTTAAGCTTTCCGGGAATAGGAAGGATTAAACATAGAATAATAAAGGGCTGCTTTGTTCCAGGCTCTCTTTTGAGGCATGATCATGAGCCCCACTTTATGCTCTAGTAGAAGCCCTCTCCAAACTGCTCTGACAACACTCAATGGAAATAGCTACTTCCTTCTTCTCCCTATATGTAGGGCTGTATATAATTTATATATATATATAATATATATATATATATAATATATATAAAATACATATATAAATATATATATATAAATTTTATCTCATTCAACCTTATATCTTCAGCACCTAATAGTTCTCAATAAATGTCTGCTAAATGCATGAATGAACGAATGAAAGAAAAAGGCTATAGAGGAAACAATATGTATGAAAAATGGGCTCTTTCTATGATTGAAAAGTAAAGATGAAACCTCCCCCACAACTCTTCAACATGCTAAATTTTCATGAACTACCCAATTGCTAAGTATTGTTTAAAGTCATGGATGTAACTAACTGAACAAAAAGCAAAAGCATTAAAATTGGTTGCTTCTGGGGAATGAACCCAAGAGTAAGAAGTGGTGAGTCAGGGATCTATTATTTTTCTTTAAAAGCCCTCCGTACTATTTGATTTTTAACCATGTACTATTTATTTTTTTACGATGTGTATCTTGATAATTTTGAACCTGCTATAATTCAAAAGCAGCCTGTAATATGTTTGATCTCATAGGGTTTAATACAGTCCTTTTTCTTTTTTAATTTTGTGCCCAGAATCCTGATTACCAAAGAGTTGGTGACCCAAAGTTAAGTTGACATACAAACAGAACTTTGAACTTTAATAAGGCAGTTCCAAAGGACACAGACTGGGTTGAGCAGGCTTGAAGGTAGCCATAAAGGGACAAAGTAAATCAATTAACTCCATGGTTTTCATACAAGTCTCTTGATATCAAAACTTCTTTCTTTACTCGCTTCCTGCAGAGATGAAAATTGACATCCATAGTCATATTCTACCGAAAGAATGGCCAGATCTAAAAAAGGTAATGGTGATTAATTTGCTGAATCATTTCTGCAACTTCTGCAGGGTTTCTCAATGCCTCTGTCATAAACTGATTTCTTCTTTTGCGAATTAGATGTTAAGTCTCCCTGCTTTAGGAGTGATTTAAAATTATTTGGTAGCTCTGATTTCCTAGTTTTTAAAAATGACTTTTAAATTAATTTTGAAAGAACATTGATTAAAGAAGTAAGTGCTTTCTCAAAATCCCTTCTTCCCCTCAAATGAAGCATTCTTTAAAATTTCTAGACAATTTAAGTCAGGCAGTTTTACTTTCATTTACATCACATATTCAGTGGCTGGGAAGATATGTGCCAACTACGGAACTTAAAGTTACATTTTTAAGTAAGAGACTATTAAAAAATGGAATGTGATAGGTTTCCAGGATTTCTAAAACATCTCCTTTCCAAAATGTTTAAAAGTAAGTTTTAGAAGCACCAAGAGATAGCTTTGTGGAATTTTTCAGTCTATTTTGGGACACTGTCTGAAACCTTTCCTTTTTGATGTTCTTTAAGCTGTAAATCTCTGTTATGAACTAGAGAGAAAGAACATCAAAAAACCCTAGAGAAAATGACATGAAGCTTTTGCACAATGAGTGTCTCTACCGACTGTTCTCTGTGTTTCTCAAAAGATGGAAATTTCATCTTGTCATTAAGAAGTTTTGAATGAATACTAAAAGAGGAAGGTGGGAAACATGAAAGAAATTTAAAATTGGCTTGAGTTTTGTTCAGGCTAAGTATCAGGTTTGACGCAATCTTCAGCCTCCTCTAAAACTTTCACACCACTGATGTTTCATCTTTTTTTATCCCAAGTGAGGAAAAATGAATTAACCTAAATTCTAATTAAATAGTCATTCATTGTGCAAGCAGCTGAAACGACTTTCTTCTCCCAAAGAATATTAATCTTAAGTGTTTCTTTGTTCATTGATATTTTAGCTAAGATGGGTGGTAGACATTGTAGATTGAAAACTACAAGTGATGCTGAACCATCTTTGAAAGGCTTTCCTGTTACAACTAATGGGAAAAGCTAACTCTATCAAACTAACCCCTGCAAAAGGAGTCCAAGTGCCTACACGGGAACTTGCTGTTCTGAGTGCTGTTGTCTTCATCATATTTTAGTAAATGCCACTTCACAATGTTAGTGATGAAGACCCCAAGCAGCTTAAAAAGGTGCCTCCTGTATGATGCTACCTATTATCCTGTGCAGCAGCCCACCTCCTATTACTTGCCTCCCAGCCCTAAGCCTGCCTCCATTCTGAGCAGAGACATGGTCACCAAGAGCTGACAATTTCTAGGTGCCCCACCTCATGCAGGGCCCTAAAGATATTGTTAAAATTGCCTAGGAAGCTGAGGGATGCAGAACATGGGGAGGTTACAGCCATAAATGTGTGCCCTGGGGGCTTCCCAAGCACACAGCACATGTTCTGATAAAGCAGGCTGCTACTTGTCAGTCTCACGCTCCAAGAACATAACCGATACACTTAATGATGATGACAATGATGATGATGATGATGAAGATGATAGTAACAATAATCATAATACTTTCCTACTTCCAGGGAGAAATATACATACTGGGGGTGCCAAAAAAATGTATACAAGTGGACACTTTGGTCAACGTTACTCAAGCAGTAGTTTGCCGTAATTACAAGTGCCTGGATGCTGACAGCAACCAATTTGAGCACCTCTTATAATTGCAGAAGTCAAATGTGACTTGTATTCATCTTTTGTTATTGGTATATATTGAGTATTACAATTTTAATACAATTTTCCTTTCTTAAAATGTGTATACATTTTTAGGCACCTTCTGTATATACATATATATAATTTGATTCACATAAAATCTTGTGACTCGCAGATAGGATTTATATTGTTAACCCTGCTAGACTGATGAGGTACCTGAGACTCAGAGATGAACCTACCACCATACCCAACTGAGAGCACTGGCTCAGGAGAATATCACTGCTATATAAGGGTTGTCCCCACTTCCTTCTGCCCCCCAGTGCCTCCCTTGACACCAGCCTGTTCCCCAAGCCCACTGAAGGCTTTGGCATGGAGTCACTGGAACCTGGCTTCCAACCCGCAGGTCAAGCCACCCACCGCATCTGTCACATGGTAGAAGCTTTCGTCTGAGTACAGGCAAGCTAGATGAAACAGCTAGCAGAAAACAGTTCTGTGTTTTCAAACTGGGAGGAGTGAGATAAATAAAAGTACATTAAATGGTGCTGGAATCCTTCTCCCTCTCCCCCCATTTCTAGTCTATATGGTCAGAGTAAAGTGACATAGTTAATAGCAGATTTCCTTTGGTGTTCATATAGTTCAATAGTTACAGCAGATTTTCCTTTGTCTTGAAATTCTTTCTTAGGAGTTAAAATATTATTTCAAAACATCCACCTCTGAGCTCTTCTCAGCAATTTTTTTTGGGGGGCTTTCCAACAAAAGAATGAAAAAAACAAGCCAGTACTAGTTTTATGTTAGAAAATGAAGCCTGTTTGGAAGAAATCATACCTCTTTTCAAACCAGCTTTTTCTTACTAAATATTAATAAACACACTTCGGTAACCTTGACCTCCTTATGCAACAGAGAAACAGAAAAGCAGAATCAACACGCCTGGCTTGATGATTAACTAATGACGACAAAGGACTGGGATTTGAGAATGCTTTTCATTTTCACTTGCTCAGAATGATTTTAGTCAGAGTTACTGTTAAGGTCTCTGAGGGAAAAAATCTATCTGAGGTAGACAGGGAGCAGATTCAGGGGGCACCAGATTAAAGTGTTTCTATTGAGTCAGGACCCACACTCGCTGCTGTCACAAGTAGGAGGATGGTGGCCCAAGAAACCATGGTGACAGTTGTTTAGGTTGATCCACAATGAGGTACTCACAGCAACAGTGATGATAATAAGGTTTTGGCTTTTTCCTTCAGCAACACTTTACTGACTGCCTAGTATGTGCCCAGTAGTGGGGCTGGCAAAGATTCTTCTAATTTTCAAACGGGGTCAAAAAATTCTGGCCTTTACTAAAAAATGTATATATTTATATCCTTTTTCATTAGCAATAACTTAATTGCACTTGATCACTGTAAGGTTTTAGGAGACAAAATCCCAGACATATCCTGACTTTTAAACAACCTCTCTGAGGAAATGGATGTTTGGTTTTCTCACCCAGGAGGTTCACTATTCACCTCATGAAAGCGAGAGTTCCCCAAGGCATTAAAAACATCATTTAGTTCATCAACCTCTGATTCATACATACTCATTTCAGAAATATATCTCTTGTATATAGAACTAAATTCCCTTTCATTTTAATTTTTTTTTTGTCATGCCCATAAATGCCTCTGGAACACTGGTCCTTGTCAGTCAAACATTTTCAGACTGTAAATGCCTCCTGGCATATACTGTGACAAAAACAACTTCCAGGGTCACAGATTTCAGAACCCAGGCTTGGTTCAACATAGGATGAGAGCTTGGGCACTGTGTGGAGCCCAGGCTCGGAGCAGAGTTAAGTTGACTCAAATAGGTTAGTTCTTTGCAAGGGGCCCGAGGAAAGAACAACATGTTCACATTTTGTGCTTGCCAATAAAGGGGAGAGAGGGACATGGTGACAAAGGGCTCCTCCTCCATAGTGCTCCTTAGTGCATGACCCGGGGTATGCCTTATTTTACCACAGAGGGATGCAATGGGCTGTCACCACCATGCCACCCCTACCACCATCACTGTCTGCCACCACCACCATCACAATCACTGGTACCACCACTGCCACCAAACTCACTACCACAACCATCACTACTACCAGCTCACAACCGACACCACTGCCATTACCACCACCACCATCCCTATCAAAACTATAACCATCACGATCACCACTGTTGCCACCATCACCTCCGCCACTGCCATAGCCACTGTCACCATCATCATCGCTGTTAGCGTGGATGAGGTCCTTTCCATAAACCAGGTGTGGTGTCAATACCTTTCAGTCAATTCTCTCAGTTAATTCCCACAAAACCTTATGTCACAGCTCCTGCTGTTAGCCTCATTTTACATAAGGAAACTAACTTTGAGATGTTAAGTAACTCCAACAAAGTTAAGTATCTTGTAAGTGGTTTGTCATTTGTGACAAGAGCCCTCTGTTAGGCCTTCCTCTGCCTCTCTGCCTTTCCCCAGATGGAATACTTTCTGACCTGCTAACTTGTGGGTTGAAGTTCCATAGGAAATTAAGAAAAAGTAAGAAGGAGAGTGAGGAAGGAAGGGAGAAAGGAATAAATGAGAGAGAGGGAGGGAGGGAGGGAAAGAGGGAGGGAGGAAGGAAGGAAGGAAGGAAGGAAGGAAGGAAGGAAGGAAGGAAGAAAATAAAACCTTTTCTTCTATTGGGTTTCGGAAAAGTCATGATGCATTTTTGCAATGAAAAACAGAAAAAATACGTCATGACTTTTCCGAAAACCCAAAACATTAAAGTAAGATTTCAGTGGCAAACTTTTAGTTTGAGAGAGAGTTTAAATTTACTCTGAGGGTAGCTGATGGAGGCCGCTCTTCCAGCATACTTCTCTGGGCAGCTTTATCCAGGGTAAGAGAGGGAAAAGCATGAAGGGAGGAGAGTAGGGGGCCACAGGCAAAGGAGAAATTGGGTGCAGGGAGGAGGAGCTGGGGCTCCTGGTCTACAATTTCCCTTGCATGCCCGGCCTACAAAGCTAGGTCCTCTGTTGTCACTTGGGGGGACGCAAGTAGATTTCAAGAGCTAAGATGATTATTTGGAGCCATAACTAAAGAACAGATTTTATGCTCAGGTAGAATACAGCTGATACAAAATTGATCCAAATCTTCAAAAGTCTGTTGGGACAGACCCTGGTCACAGACACAGAGACACACAAACACCTCTGTGCCTCAGGCCAGACCACCCCTCTCAGTCTGGAGAAGAGAGTGGTGCTAGGAAGAGGGGTCTGCCCAGACCTGACTTCCTCAAGGCAACCTCCCCATCACGACCAAAGAACCAACCACTGTTAGCTGGTTTCCTCCAACTACAACACGCAAGCAATTGCTCTCATCTGCAGCTTCTTTAACTTGTCTCCCCACCATTGCTGACAAGAACTGTCAAGGAGCTCTTCACATCACTCACATCATTATCTCCAGCCACCACGCCGTCCCTTCATACATCACCTTTTGAAAGCCGCTGCTTTGGAGCGTGGAAATGCTGAACTCTGGACGTTCCTCTCCAGTCTGACCACAGGCTACCTTTTCAACCCGCCCCCCCAACCCGCCCCCAACACTTCCTAACCCAAGTTATAGGTCAGGCTGTCCTTCAGGCTTCCTGAGGATTTGTGCATCACTCGATCACAGAATGTCTCACATGCCATTACGGCTCTTCAGTTATTTGCTCACCCAGCCCCACCCTCTCAAAACTGTGCTTCACACAGACTAGAGCTGTCCTTCACTTTCATTTCCTCTGCGCTAGTAAGGCCTGTCATGGGTGGGACTCCATGAGGGTTTGATAAATGAATGAATGAACAGTGAATACATGAACAGAAATGAGATTTTAAAACCTATAGTTACATGAATCATATATACCTGTGTTCTTGGGCAGAGGCTTTCAAAATTTTGTATTCATAACCTTCAAGGAGAAATATAGTTTATATTGTGACTCAGTACAAATACAAACATCTATATATATATATATATATATATATATATATATAATGGAAACAGTAGTTTCATGAAATAAATAATTACTACATGAGAGGCATCCCATCCCATCTCTATCTTACTATCTTGGGTTTTCCAAGGAGCAGATCCTGAGACAAAGACTCAAGTGCAAATAGTTTCTTTTGGAGGTGATCTCAGAAAACACTAGTAGAGTGGGGAAGGGAGGCAGGGAAAACAAGGCAGCCAAAGAAAATGGAGAATGGGTGTGCCTCGTCTCAGTCCTCCCGCTGAACGTGTGTGTTTAGTGTATTTGTATACAAACCTCCTCAGGCATTGGTTGAGGACTGCTGAGGGAAGGGGCCACACTGATTTCCTGGGGCTTCTGACCTGCCAGGAGGGCCTGACCAAAGCTGGCTCCAGTCGCAAAACAGAAGCTTTCATCAGAGAAACGCAGGTGCTGCAGTTGGAGGGCGGGTGTGCACAGAAGTGTAAAGGGGAGAGAGATGGGCGGGACACCATCACCATCTGCTTCACATACTAGGTCATATTTTTAGAACATCTGGGTCACTATGCACTAAATGTCATGATCTCATGGATCACAACCCACAGTTTGAAGAGCAGTGTTCTAAGATGCTATTTCCTAACGAGTGGTCCTTAGGACCCAGGTCCTGATGGTCCGTGAAATGATTTAGGTGATACGTGAACAAATATTTTTTAACGTCAATCCTCATTTTAAAATTGCAAACGGAAGGAGGAGAAAAGGTAAAACTAGCACTTCTGTGATATAGAATTTTCTTCCTGAGTAAATACATTTAAGGAAAGAAAGTAACTTGATTTAAATATACATATTGAATAAGTGATACATGGCTATGAGTTAAAAATGGGAAGGTGATGCTTGAAAGGGTGGAGCTCAGGGTCCTTTGCTCTAGAAATGCCCCTTTATCTCAGGCCTCTCTGCTTTGCTCTTCCGGTCTAACTGTCCCTCTCCTCCTGCAGAGATTCGGCTACGGAGGCTGGGTACAACTCCAACACCACAGCAAGGTGAGTTTGTCCCAAAGCATGAATGTGCCTAGGACCCAGGGACACCCTGAGCCTGAGACCCTCCTGCAGGCCTCCAGGGAGCTCAACTCTTCTGCCTTCCTTTTGGCTTTGTAGCAGATAATGGAGAAGCACTGAGGTTTCTCAAAATTATTAGAAAAAATGAGGGTAGCTTAAAAGAGCAGCACTTAGGAAAATAACATTGGAATCTGAGAAGCCATTAAGAAATGTTTTTTTCTTTTTTTTACCCTAAGAACCAATTTTAGCATTTACTGCTCTGCCTCAAGGAAGCAACCTGGCCTTCTCCACAGGTCGTTACAGTATATTAAAGCTGACCCAACAAATGGAACGCTTGAGGTTTGAGCACAAGCTAGAGAAATTAAACACTGGAGACAAAGGGGAGAAGCAGCCACTGTTATTAAGAGTTGAGTATGGTAAGAGATAAAAGTGAAAGGAGGTCTGAGAGTGAGCTTGAAGTCTAGGGCTGCACAGAGGTCAGGCCCGTTCATTTTCAGAGATAGCACATGCCCTGTGGAGCTCGCAGGGAACATTCCCCAGCTTCCAGCCAGAGCACAGACATGACTAAGGCAGACGCTGGAGGATGTGTGGTCTGGGAAGATGCAGCTACCATGTGCAGAGGTAACGAATGCAGTGTGATAAGGTTAGAACCACTTTCACACCAGGTTCTGGAGGACATAGATTTGGGCACTAAGGATTGGAGGCAGCTTCCTGGAGGAAGTGATCCCTATCCTGAGTCTTGAAGCAGGAGTGAAGGCTTGCCCAAGGAACAAAGGAAGCCAAGGTTCCAGAAAGAGAAGACAGGAAGCAAAGGCATGGAAATATTAAACATACGTGAGCTGGGAATTCAAGCACTCAGCTATGGCTGGTACCAGTATTTCTCAAAGTCTGATCCCCAGACCAACAAGTTCAGCTTCACCTGAGAACTTGGGAGACATGCAAATTCTTGGACCTCACCCCAGATCTACCAAATCAGGAACTCTGAGGCTCCGGGCAGCAATCTGTGTTTGTACAAGCCTCCGGGTGATTCTGATGCTCACTCAACTTTGAAAACCACTGGCTATAGTCGTTCCCTCACTCACCGATTTTTATTGAGACCAATTTTGTGCCAGGCCCACAAGTATAGACACGGGACATATGCTGATGAACAAGATAGACATGCTCTCTGCCCTCATGGTGGTCAAATTCTAGTGGGAGACAAACAAATGTGATCACTTCAGAGAACAAAATGAAAAATGGTGCTGCAGTAGGGAGTGACTGGGGAAGATTCATTTGGGCAGGCTGCACAGGCCGCTAGTTAAGACTTGGATGGAAGGAAGGAAACACCTGGAACAGTGTCTCTGGCTGAGGGAACAGCAGTTGCAAAGGCTACCATGTGAGGAAGAGCTGTGTTCAAGGAACAGAAAGCAGGGCAATGTGGCTGAAATGGAGTGAAAGGGGGAGATGGAAAGCAGTAAGGCTAGTTAGGAAGGCAGGGGCCAGATCATGGAGAGACTTGTAGCACATGGTAAGGAATCCAGGTTTTATTTTCAACTCATTACATTCTTTGGAGGGGCTTAATGGCTTAAAAAGACCACTTCCGCTGGAGAGAATGGATAGAGGCAGACATGAGTTTGGGGAGCAAGTTGTGGGACGAAGTTGGAGAGTGAGCGGAAGCTTCATCAGATGGAGCCTTGGACGGTGGGTTTAAGCCTTTGTCCTTGATCCTGAAGGCAGTGAGGAATCATTAGAGTTTTCAACATCAGCATCTCTGGGGCAGCTAATTCTCATCTTCATCAAAGAGTGCCCACCAAGTGCCAATTTTAGGCACTGGGCTGTACCTCCCCCATGAAAACTGCTAGTTCCTAGCCAGGGAGCTAGTGACCTAAGCTGGAAGTCTCCACAAGGGAGAAAAATCTGAGTGGAGCTGATTACAAGGCTACTAGGGAGCCCCGAATGCAGGGATGGGCAGCATGTGATTTTTTTTTAACTCCACGTTTAAGGTTAGTTTTTAACCTTGATATTGGATTTGGAGGGTCTTCATTTCACTTTGTTTGCATGTTGAGAGATTGCATAAACGTAACAGTAAATCTCCCCTCCAAAGAAAACAACCCCAAAAAACAAGAAGAAAAATATTTCCAGTCATATCTGTTACCTGCATATTTCCAGCAAAAATTAGATATAATTATAGTCTGATAGAACAAAACAGTGACACTCTCCTTCTCTCTCTCTCAAATACAAAGCAAAACAAAACAGGAGCAAATCTGTATTTTTCATAATTACAGTGGTCAGGGATTATAGTCACTGGAAAACAACATGCAAATGTATACAAATATTCTAATTAGGCTAAGAGCAATGAAAAAATCCAGCATTTTGGGGGTGAAATTTCTTGTTTTATCCTCCTACATTCCTTTGGTGAACAAATATTTTCTGTCCCCATGTCTAATTTATCTCAGAGATTTCTGTTCTCTGAAAGGTCTTTCCGAAACATTTCTCTGGTCTGCCCTATGTGTTTCTCTCTTTAACCTTTGGTTTTCCAATGCTTTTGGAAGGAATCAAGGGGTGTTTGTTTGCCACAGTAAAAGCCTTGTTCAGAATTTAAAAATACCATTTGTCCTTTAGTTGAATATTTATAAAAGCATAGGTATCAGCCAGTTTGTGTGAACTCCTCTCAGGAGATGCATGGGGTAGGGGTAGAATTGCGTCCTGCTGTCAAGAATACTTGGGAGCATTTCAAAGAAGGGTAGACATAGGGCCTTTTTTAAATCCATGGGTTAGTAGCAGCTAGAAACATCCACTGAGTGTTTTTCAGGCCCTTCAGAATACACACACACACACACACACACACACACACACACACACAATTCTGTTTAATCTCCAATCATTGGGTTCCTGCTCTCAAAATGATTTCTCCCTCACTGGGGAGCCAAGAAGACACCCAAATGGATAAAGAACATACAGATAGTGATAATTTTGCACTGAGCAAAAGACATAATAAATAGTGAGAGGGTTCAGGGGAGGTGGAAAGCCCAAGGCAGGGGGCAGTTTTCATGAAAATGAAGAATCATACAATTGTAGGGCTAGTGATCATCTATTCCAATGTTTAAAAATATGAGTTGCAACCCAAAAGTGAGTTATAATAACAATTCAGTGGGTTAGGACAGCTTTAAAAATAAAATAGATTACAAAAGAAAATACCAGAATGCATTGTTCATGCTAAGAATAAATACTGATTCATGAAACTTTTTTCCCAGTTTGTATTTGTATAAACAGATATATATGGGTCTACTGAGTTACAATGGAAAACATATTTCTTCATGTGGGGTTACAGCTAAAGTTGATTGAAAGCCATTAATCTAGTCCAATGCTGTCAGTTCACGTTATTTCTAAGGTTAATTTTCATTACATAAGTAATATTTTAATAAATTCTCCTTTTAAAATGTAAGCTATTGGAGATAAAGCTATAGCTCCCTTGAATCAGTACTCCCCATCCTCAAAAGTAATTCCATTAACAGTTTGATGGGTATCTTTCCAGACCTTTCCCATGACTTTGTTTTTATATACATCATGCACCTAAGAAACACATAGCATTATTCAATATGTTTATGTACATTTTTTTTTTGCTAAAGCAATTAGATTCCAAACAGAAAAGAAATGGATTAGAATACTTTGAAAGAAGTCAATAAAGAGCCTATGTATAAAGGTGATGAGGTTGTAGAAGTAAGCAGAGCTTAGAGTTTGGGTTTTACCTTCAAGACAATGGGAATCCACTGAGAGTTTTCAGTGGGACAGTGGCAAGATCTGATTTCAGATTTTAAAAGTTTGCTGTGGAGGCTTTATAGAGACTGGATGGGAGGGAAGCCAGAGTGACAGCAGAACGAGGTTAGGCGGGCCATTGGAGCAGTCTTTCTGGTGAGAGAGGATTGGGTTTGGACCAGGGCTGGAGCAGGGCAGATGGAGAGAAGTGGACCAGCACAGGATCTATTCTGCAGGTTGAATTAATGGTATTGGGAAATGAATTGGATGGTGACACGTCAGGCAGAGGGGAGTGAAAAGCTGATGATGTCTCAGAGGGATGAGAAAGATGATGCAGGTATCAAAGACAGAAGCAGCCAAGCCAGGAGGACAAGCAGGTCTGGGAAAGAAATGGTTGTAGAAGGGCTCCCAGGAGCTGTCCTTCACAACCTTGGAATGTGAAAGCTGGAGTGATTAACGGGCTGCTTCCTGGAGACAGCGTCTGGGCCATTTCTGACAACTCTGCACCCCAATCCCAATCAGCACAATAGCTTGCATGGCCTAGAGGGAAAGCCTGAGGGGGACTGCAGATGAAAGGAGGAGAATGGAAATCTGATGTAAAATACTGAGCTTGAAAATACATTTTTAATGTTACACGCAGAACCAGACATTTGAAATACCAGCTATATTTGAACTTATTTGCAGATAGTGTTAGAACTAGAACTTACAAATCAGAAGCGTCACAGGTCACGTTCTCTGGGAATCAGACTCTGAGTCAGAGATTAGCATGGAAAAGGTTTATCAGGAAGTACTCGTAGAATGGACACCAGATGGAGGGAAGAGAAGGAATCAGGACAGAACAGAGGGCAAAGCTGGGCTGCGATGTAGTTTCAGTGGAGGCCTCAGCTGACCCTACAAAAATCTCTAAAGCTTCAGAGTTGTCCCAAGTTGGGGTGGGGTGAGGGGGCCAATGTAAGAAGGCCTTTACACCTCCATGTCAACCAATCATTGGAAGTGTGCTGCCCTGGAAATGAAGCAGGACCTTGAAGAAGGTGGCTCTGCTTGGCTAAAGCAATCTTCCTATCTCCCCATGGGGGCTGATAGCCAAGGGCTGTCTGCTGGCAAAACTCCCAGAAGCATGGAGAATAAGTCCTTTCTTCCTGAAGGGGGTTCTAAATGGCACATCATACCATCCTGTGAAGGACCTTAGACACAGTTACTTTAAGCCTTTATTTTATAGTTAGAATCTTGAGGCTCTGGAAGGGTAAGTA